CCCCCCCCCCAAAGCGTTGTGCAAAGACAGATGTAACGTGGGGACGATTGATGTGTTGATTCAGCGGTGCTCTTTCTCGGAATAAGTTCGCGATAATTTACGGCTCGGTGTACTTAACGAGCGCGCCCACGATCGACGTGCAGCATTGATACTCGGGGATATACGGCGCGTGCACGTGTATATTTGGTTTCCTCGTCTTATGAGACTCCTCCCGACCGGGGGAGGAGATTCCTCCTTTCAACCAAGCGATTAAGCGTTATTTTGCGTTTTCCCACTCTGTCCTGCGCTTTATTTCGGGGAGGATTAATCGCCGAGCTTCCTCCTTGACACAGTCATAATTTGGCACTGGCCACGTGCGCGCGTGCTCATTTTCGCGTTTACGCTTATGTCACGCTCTTCGACGGAACCGTCGTCGTCGTCGTCGTAGTAAGCGATAACGCGCGCGGATCTTATTCTCGACGACTGTTTCGCGGCGATCGGCGTTAGCGGTTTTAATGAAAGTTTCAGCGGCTCGTATCGTTTCTACCAAGGTCTCGCGCTTTGTAGCCACTCGAGTGACTTATTAAAATCCGTAAATAAAACAGCAACAGTGACATCCACGTATCCTCGGGAACGCACGACGGGAGAAATATGTCCCGCTGGAAATACGTCCGTCGTAAGACCGATTCGATCGCTTCTCATCGTGGTGGTGGCGGCGTTGGTAACAGCGGTGGTAGTACACCGGGTCGAGTTTGTGCCCCACACTTCGCATGACGAGCCCACGATTAATAGTTTATCCGGTAACATGGAACTGCCGCAGTAGCGGCATATAACAAGCGGGTGTAAAGCAATGCGCTTGACTATAAGACCGATTAACTGGGAAAAAGATCAACCCACGTCGTGGCGCAACCACCGTAGGTCTTCCAATTTCACTACTGTGCCCACCTATACCGTAACACAGGGCTAACGGACGACTGAGATAATTTTCTTTGTTGTACAATCGTTGTACAAGGGGAAGCTCGCTTTCCTCGCGCTGAAAAAAAAAGTGCTATCGTTCGAGTTTTTGCGAATTTTCTCTGAAACGACAAATGGCTGTATCTTAAAACATATATATATATATATATATATATTTATTTATTTATTTATTTATTTATTTATTTATCAGGTTTGGCGAGTACTTTAATCTGATACCAAAATTGGGTGCAAAATCGAGCGAGGGAAAGAAATGAGAAACATCTCGGCAAAATTTTTTGCAGCCATTTGATATTTACATTCAGTGATTCATTTACAGATCTGACATCGATAAAAGTATTATTTGACTTGACGAGGCTGAAAAGGGTAATTACGTTCACTTGATTCCAGCGTTTCTTTTTCCTGTGTATCGCGAAATCGCGTTTATTATAATATTCTTCCGTTCTTCATTTCCCAATACGATATGGAAAGCGGAAATGTGTCTGTATCATAGATACGATCTAATGAGAATTATTGATGATCCAATGAGAATCATGCCATTGTTTCATGTTTTGCAAATACGTATGAGCACGCTTTTAACCAGTATCTTATTTATCACATTATCTTTGCAGAAACAGAGAGGCGGATTCGCGCCAACAATCGGGAGTACAACTCACAATTTAATTATGCGGTGAGTGGACAATTTTTTTCCCCACGTTGTCAACGTTGCCTCGAGGTGGCCAGTGTTTAAAAAAGTGAAAGATACGCATTAATATCGTATAAACGTGTCACAAGAGACAGATCGAGCGTCTTTCTTTTTTGCAGAATAATTACATCAAGACGTCCAAGTATTCGGTTTTGACGTTCCTACCGTTAAATTTGTTCGAGCAATTTCAGCGGCTCGCCAACTTCTACTTCCTATGCCTGTTGGTGCTTCAGATGATCCCCGCCATATCCTCCTTAACCCCTATCACCACAGCAATACCGCTTATAGGGGTACTCACGCTCACTGCCGTCAAAGATGCCTATGACGACTTTGTGAGTATCTCATCGTTCCTTCTTACTTATCGCAAAAGTATAGTCAAAAGAGAATTTCTCCGTTAACGTTGATGTGACATCGAATCACAGCTGTGTGATAAAATGTATCGTGATATCGTATATTTACGTCTCTTGTTAGATTTAAAGATATAAAGAAGCTGAGTTTGTTGAAAGTGGAATATCACTGGCATTCTGTCCCCGTTCTTCGGAAAGCTGTGACGCGACGATTTCATTTTCAGCAACGGCATAGCAGCGATTCTCAAGTAAACAATAGGAAGTCCCGAACACTGCGGGGTACTAATCTTCGTGAGGAGAAATGGTCGCAGGTCCAGGTGGGCGACGTAATCAGAATGGAGAACGACCAGTTTGTCGCGGCGGACGTTCTGCTCCTGACGACGAGCGAGCCAAACGGTCTCTGTTACATCGAAACGGCGGAGTTGGACGGGTATGGCTTTACAAAGTTATCCAGTTGTAAGATGCAAAGGACACAAGGTGAATGATTGCAAGTAATAATCTCTCCGAACTCGGTTACAGAGAGACGAACTTGAAGTGTCGTCAGTGCCTGCCGGAAACCGCCGAGATGATGGATAACCACGAGTTGATCGGCCAGTTCGACGGAGAGATCGTTTGCGAAACCCCTAATAATTTGTTGAACAAATTCGACGGAACGCTCACGTGGAGGGGGCGAAAGTAAGATTCGATATATACGGCTGGAGAAACGAAGCAGAAACGAGAACCGGATGTATCTCGAGCGCGAGGCGTCTCGTGGTTCTTGCGAAAACTGGAAATATCTGGTTCTCGTTTTGCGGAGTATCGGCTTTGACCAAACCTTATTGCGCGCCACGTCAACGTGACCACTAACGTGGCTTTTGCAGATACGCATTGGATAACGACAAGATTATTTTGCGTGGTTGCGTGCTCAGGAACACGCAATGGTGCTATGGCATGGTGATCTTTGCGGGCAAGGATACCAAACTGATGCAAAACTCAGGGAAGACCAAATTTAAGAGGACCTCTATAGATAGACTGCTGAATCTCCTCATCATCGGGATAGTGTTTTTTTTACTTTCCCTGTGTTTGTTCTGTATGATCGGCTGTGGTATTTGGGAGAGCCTCCTCGGCCGTTATTTCCAAGTGTATTTACCGTGGGACTCGTTAGTGCCGAGCGAGCCCATTGCCGGCGCAACGGTGATCGCCCTGCTCGTATTCTTTTCGTACTCGATCGTGCTGAACACGGTGGTGCCAATCAGTTTGTACGTGAGTGTCGAGGTGATCCGGTTCGTTCAGTCGTTTTTGATCAATTGGGACGAGGAGATGTACTACGCGCCCACGAATACGCACGCTAAAGCTAGGACTACCACGTTAAACGAGGAGCTGGGCCAAATAGAATACATATTTTCCGACAAGACCGGGACCCTGACGCAGAACATAATGACTTTTAATAAGTGTTCTGTGGCGGGCAAGTGTTATGGCGACGTCATCGACGAGGTCACCGGCGAGGTCATCGATTTGAGCGAGGTGAGTCTCGCGCGAGTTCGTCGCGTTTAAACGAACGTTTACCTAGACTCGACTGCTGACGACAGGGTACGTGCTGCAAAGTTTTCTCTCTCTCCCTCTTTCTCTTTCTCTCTCTCTCTCTCTCTCTTTCTCTCTCACTTTCTTCACATTATCTACTTACGGAAATTATATACATTCGTCCGAGATACGAGAGCAAATACATTGGTCCCGCGTTATATAGCTATGCTTTCGACGCGTGAAAACGATATTAGTCACACGCTTCCGCGGTTCAAGAGGTTTCTGTTACTGTATAGGATATATACATTGTACAGAGAGGATTCACATATCACACATCCAGCAGTATAAAACAGCAGTATGTTCGGTAATAATGACGATAAATTTGCAATGTTACCTGTACCTTTATTACAGTCTTGTTTCAATTTACGTTATATCCGATAAAGAATGACTGCACGGAGGAGTCTGTAGAAAATGTTTAAATATGTGACGACAAAATATACTGAAATATCTTTGAAACGCGGTTATACGATCGAAAGTATCTCTTGCATTTTATACACATATATATATATATATATATATATATATATATATATAT